AGAGCCAGACCCCCTCAAAAAAAAAAAAAAAAAAAAGAAATCTTTCTTACCATAGGGAAGTCAGATACATGGAGTCAATCATGTACACCAACTAGGTACTCTATTTCACAGGGTTTTTTTTCTTGCCCATGTGAGGGAAGTTTGTGAAAGGGAGAAAAGTTGCCACACACCTGTACAAGATACTGCTTTCAAATTCACCCGGTATTTAGCTCTTCGAAAGTGTCAGACAACTAGTAGTGCAAACGTAGGTTTTGCAGCAGGATTAAGACTTCAAATATTTCCACCCACCAGAGACAGACCACCTTGTTCATCCTTCCTGTTTCCTTTTCTACTGTTCCCTCTTCAGTTGACACAACTTCAGTTGACAGGATAAGACTTGGGATAAGCTGAAAAGCAAATGTTTGAGTATATGTGTTGGTGTGTGTGTATAGATTTTGAGAGAAGTGGCTTAACTCCTAGAATAATAAATTTATATTATTTTTTCTACCAAGCCCTTAGATATCATCTAATTGAATGCCTGCCCACATTTTACATATAAGTAAACTGAGGTTGGAGAAAGTGATTGCCTAAGATCATATAGCTAATGGTAGATCTGGGACTAAAACCTTTGTTCCATGATGCCAACACCAATGGTTTTTCTCCTGAATCATTTACCTTTCCCATTTTAATTCAAAATTCAATACTATTTGTTGTTACACATACAATGGCAAGAGTTTAGAGGTATGAATAATTAATTATTGTAATGAATTTCTCATTTAAAGAAATGTTGCTTTTATGTATTTTAAGGAATTTGGTAATTGCAATTTTTATAGATTGAAGAAGAAGAGAGGAAAAAAATAGAAGATATGAAAGAAAATGAACGGATAAAAGCCACTAAAGAATTGGAAGCCTGGAAAGAATGTCAAAGAAAAGCTGAAGAGCAAAAAAAAATTCAGAAGGAAGAGAAATTATGTCAAAAAGAAAAGCAAATTAAAGAAGAAAGAAAACAATTAAAATATAAGACTAGTACTAGAAATTCGGCATCGAGAAATCTTGCTCCAAAAGGTAAAATGATTAAGACTTTCTTGAGTAGTGAGTCCTGTTGGTGACGTATATATGACACTTTTCTTTTTTTGTAAATATATTCACAGCATTAGGTTACTATTTTGGCATATTGAGAATAAGCAATTCAGTACAAAGACTAAAGTAAAAGACATTTCTTCTTTTGGGGTAATGAAGTTTTCTTTTTGTTTTGTTTTGTTTTTTGAGATGGAGTCTTGCTCTGCTGCCCAGGCTGGAGTGCAGTGGCCCGATCTCGGCTCACTGCAAGCTCCACCTCCCGGGTTCACGCCATTCCCCTGCCTCAGCCTCCCGAGTAGGTGGGACTACAGGCGCCCGCCAACACACCCGGCTAATTTTTTGTATTTTTAGTAGAGACAGGGTTTCACTGTGTTCGCCAGGATGGTCTCGATCTCCTGACCTCGTGATCTGCCCACCTCGGCCTCCCAAAGTGCTGGAATTACAGACGTGAGCCACCGCGCCCGGCCGGTAATGAAGTTTTCTAATAAAATGAGCAAGGAGGCGCCTGTAGTCCCAGCTACTCGGGAGGCTGAGGCAGGACAATGGCGTGAACCTGGGAGGCGGAGGTTGCAGTGAGATCGTGCCACTGCACTCCAGCCTGGGCAACAGAGCCAGACTCCTCCCTCTTAAAAAAAAAAAGAATGAGCAAGGATTCATTCAAGGATTCGAAAAGAAGAGTGTCTTCTTTGCTTGTGTGCTTTCTTTTGAAATTTACAGAGATGTTGTTAAATAAGTGCTTAACTCAGGCTCAGGCCCAAAAAGACTTGGAGTGGACTAGCAGTGTCAGAAGCATTCATTTATTCCATCGGAGATAAGAAACTAGGAATTTCATTAAAAGACCTTTTCCTCACATCACTTAGGAAAATGAGTACTATAAGCAAACTTACTCTACAGCAAATAAAGATTGCTTCTAGCTTTTAATCTTGATGTGTTCAAAAATAGATAAATTAATGTAATTTTTTTTCTTTTTTCTTTCTTTTTTTTTTTTTTTTTTGAGATAAGGTCTGGCTCTGTCACCCAGGCTGGAGTGCAGTGGCGCGATCTCAGCTCACTCTAACCTCTGCCTCCCCAGCTCAAGCCATCCTCCCTTAGCCTCCCAAGTAGCTGGGACTACAGGCCATATGCCTCAATGTCCAGCTAATGTTTTTTGTACTTTTTGTAGAGATGAGGTTTTGCCATGTTGCCCAGGCTGGTCTTGAACTCGTGAACTCAAGCAATCTGCCTGCCTTGGCCTCCCAAAGTGCTGGGATTGTAGGCATGAGCCACCATGTCCGGCTGATACAAATATTCTGTTTTGTGTGTGTGTGTGTGTGTGTGTGTGTGTGTGTGTGT